TGAAGTTTCCCTGATTTTTCATATGTCTAGTAATTCTGGAGTATACACTGGACGTTTAAATATTGTAAGGCCCTTCAACTTTTTTCAACTGAAAAACAGGCAACCTATGTGGTTGGACTCAGTGGTGAGTTCAGCCCAGCACTTTGCAGGCTGTGATGTCAGTCTCTGGGTTGCTGTCTGCAGCCTTCCTATGTGGACATCACCCAGTGGCCAGTCCAGTATGTGAGTGGTGGTCTGTCTCAGTCAGCTCTGGCTGCTATAACAGATACCACAGATTGGGTGTCTTAAATACCATTTATTTTGCTTATTTATAGACGTTGTAAAGTACACAAGAAAGGTACCAGTGGATTTCAATCTGGTGGGGGAAGCCTTCCTGGTCTGCTGATGGCTCCCCTCTTGCGAATCATCACATGGCTGAGAGAGAGAGAGAGATACAGGGAGGGAGAGAGGGGGGGGGTCTTTTTTTTTTGGAAAGATTTATTTTATTTATTTGTAAGTTATTTTATTTTATTTATTTGAAAGAGTTACAGAGAGAGGCAGAGACAGAGAGAGAGGTCTTCCCTCTGATGATTCACTCCCCAGATGGCCGCAACAGCCGGAGCTGCAGAGATCAGCAGTCAGGAGCTTCTTCTGAATCTCCCGTGTGGTTGCAGGAGCCCAAAGACTTGGGCCATCTTCTACGGCTTTCCCAGGCCATAGCAGAGAGCTGGATCAGAAGAGGAGCAGCCAGGACTAGAACTGGCACCCATATGGGATACCAGCGCTTCAGGCCAGGGCCTTAACCCACTGTGCCACAGCGCCAGCCCCGAGATCATCTGTATCTCATTATAAGGGTACTAATCACATTCAAGAGGGCTCCATCCTCATGATCCAGTTACCTCCAAGTACCATCAAACAGGGGCTTAGGAATTCAACATATAAATCTTAGGGGCATATAAGCATTCAGTTCACAGCATGGTTTATCCCATAGTTCAGCTCTCCAAGTCTCAGTTGTGTGCTGTTAAAGGTCAGATACATGCAAGCATAACTCAGGAGTAGGTTCACAGATTCATTAACAATGTATTGGGGTCACTTCCATGAGCTCCCCCTCTCTGTCATCTCCTCAGTGCTTTCTGGCTCCCTTTGAGCTCTTCTGCCAAGAGGTGGAGTTTTCTCTACCATGCTTTGCAGCACACTTCCTAAGGCTGTGCCTGGTATCCCAAGCCAAGTGGAGGGAGGACAGAGGACAAAAGTGACAGGGTTTGTCCTTTCTTCTTGGGACCACACAGCTCTTCCTATCAGAGAAGAAACTCCAGGAGAGGTTCAGCCTCATTCAGTACCCTCCCTATTAGTCACTTTGCTGCTCACGCAGTTACTTGAGGGCTGAGACCAAGAACAACAGGAAAAGAAAAATAAAACAAGGGATTTTCCCCACCCTACCTGGGTGCTGTGAGACTGTTTTCTTGCTCCTCGTGTCAAATCAAGCAGCCTTCTCCTCCAGCTGTCTCTGTTGGTAACAATGTCCCTGACGGGCTTTGTACTTTCCAGTGTAGGTCAGGGGACATCAGAGGAAAAGAAATGGAAAACTTGTGGTGCTCTAAATTCTCATCCTCTTCTCCAGGCCACCAGGCATTCTGCTTTTCAGTCTTCCCTGCACCCTGCATTCTGTAGGAGACGTAAGATGAAGGGTGTTTACTTCATTGTACTCTGACCTGGATCTGAACCTTTAAGTTTTATAGTTGTTTGAATTTTTATCCAGTGGGGCCAGCACTACGGCATAGCAAGTAAAGCTGCTTGCCTGTAGTGCTGGCATCCCATACGGGTACTGGTTCAAGTCCCCACTGCTCCACTTCTAATCCAGCTGCCTGCTAATGCACCTGGAAAAACAGGAGAGGATGGCCAAAGTCCATGGGCCCCTGCACCCACATGGGAAACCCAGAAGCTCCTGGCTCCTGGCTTTGGACTGGCCCAGCTCCAGCTATTGTGGTCATTTTGGGGGTGAACCAGTAGATGGAAGATCTCTCTCTTATCTCTCTCTTCTCTCTTCTTTCTTCTCTCTCTCTCTCTTCCTTCAAATAAATAAATCTGTAAAAAAACGTTTTTCATCCCAATACAAAGCAAAGGCCACAACCACAAAAAACTTCAAGGCATGTCCTGTAGTTTCCATAAGCATTGTTAAGGTCCAAAATGAAATAACAACGTGAACTAACACAACTGGGAAGGAAATGAAAGGAGAGAGTTTAAATGTGTTCATTTTCACAATTTTCATGGCTGGGGTTGGAAAGATCACAAAAGGGGGTGAAATTTAGGAAGAATGCACAGAAAGCGAATACCCATGCCTGGTTCAGTGTGGGTGCGGCTAGGGCTCCAGCCCGGTAATGGCTGGCCCTCTGAAGGTCCATGTGTCAGCAGCCTGGCCCCTGTGTGGTGGTGTTGGGAGGCAGGGTCACGTGCAAGACCTTTAGGTCACTGGAGTGTGCCCCAGGAAGTGACTGACACAGCTCTCATGGCACCCTGCTTAGTCCTCAGATGTTCTGTGCCTTCCTGTCTTACAGCGTGATCTCCTGCCACTGTGACACCACCCACCAGGAGGACCTCACCAGAACCCAGCTGATGCCAGCACCACAGCCTTGGATCTGCATACATGTGAGCTAAGCAAACCTCTTTACAAATCACCCAGCCTCGGGTAAGCTGTTACAGAAATGGAATCTGGACTAATACAGTGGGGAACTGGGTGGAGGGAGCCTGCCCACTGAACAAAATTCTTAAGATGAGAGTTTTGATTCATGTGCATGCATTACTTTTTTTTTTTAAATAAAGGTGGAGGGGCAAGTTCTGTGGTGCACCAGGTTAAGCTGTCCCTTAGGACATCTGTACCCCATATCTGAGTGCTAGTGTGAATAGCAACTATTCTGCTGTTGATTGTTTTCTGCTAATGCATCTGGGAGGCAGCAGATGATGGCCCAAGTACTTGGGTCCCAACTACCCACTTGGGAGACCCAGACAGAGTTCCAGGCTCCAGGCTTTGACCTGGTCCAGGCTTGGCTTTTGTAGGCATTTGGGGAGAGAACCAGCCAATGGAAGCTCTCTCTCTTCTTTGTCTTTCCCTTCCCTTCTGCCACGCAAATAAATAAATCTTTAAAATTAAAAAAATAAAAAAGTGGAAAATCTGAAGTAGACATTTGCCCATTAAGAACATCCTTTAGGGCCCAGTCTGTGGTGCAGCTTATTAAGACACTGCCTGTGATGTCGGCATCCTATACAAGCACTAGTTCGACTCCCACCTGTTCCACTTCCAATCTGCTTCTGATCCAGCTACTTGCTAATGCAACTGGGAAAGGAGAGGAAGATGGCCCAAGTCCTTGGGCTTCTTCTTCCAAGTGGGAGACCTGGAAGGAATTCTTGGCTCCTGGCTGTGGATGGCCCTGCCCCTGCCATTGTTGCCATTTAGGGAGTGAACCAGTAGAGGGAAAACCTTGCTCTGTGTCTCCCTTTCTCTCTCTGTAACTCTGTCTTTCAAATAAATAAGTGAAATCTTTAAAAAGAGAGACGGAGAGAATCCTTTACAAGTGCTCTTTGCTTTCTCCTTAGAAGAAACATTCTTCAGAAGGTTGTCATTATCATGTAGTCCTAAGGGATCTATTAATATTAAAATGTGACAGTAACAAAAACTAGCATTTATTGAGCATTTGTATTTCTAGACTTCACTGTTATTACTTAAATGTTAAGTACTTTGAACCACAGAATATTTCAAGGAAATATTATAATGAAATATATACAGTTTAAAATGATTACATATGTGTATATATAGTCACCGAATGAAATATGATTTCCATGTTATTCATGAGGAAACTAAACTTAGGGAAGTTAAGCAATTCATTGAGTGTTAAATGTCCACACTTGCCTAAAGCAGAGACATTAGGACTGGAACCTAGTAGTTTGGTTGTAGAGGGAAAGAGAACAACAAAATATATAATCCAGTCTGACAGGGAAGGAAATGAAGAACAGGTTTGTGGAAGTGATGGTTTATAATAATAGGACTGCTCAGTGAACGGCCAATGGATGCACTCTAAACAGGGAATGAAGTATCAGTTATGGTGATCGAGGTTGTTATAGTGATTGAGATTGAACCAACTCTCAAATTTGAAGGAACATACAAATAATGTGAAGGAAATATAAGCCAGAAAAATGAAAAACTTTCTTAAAAGATGCAATAGAACTAGAAATAATATATCTATGATACAACTCATACCACATACCAATTATTTCAACAAACAGAAATGGTCAGCCGGTGCCGCGGCTCACTAGGCTAATCCTCCACCTGCGGTGCCAGCACCCTGGGTTCTAGTCCCGGTCGGGGCACCGGATTCTGTCCCGGTTGCCCCTCTTCCAGGCCAGCTCTCTGCTGTGGCCCGGAAGTGCAGTGGAGGATGGCCCAAGTGCTTGGGCCCTGTACCCCATGGGAGATCAGGAGAAGCACCTGGCTCCTGGCTTCAGATCAGCGCAATGCGCCGGCCACAGCATGCCAGCCTCGGCAGCCATTGGAGGGTGAACCAACAACAAAAGGAAGACCTTTCTCTCTGTCTCTCTCTCTCTCTCTCTCACTGTCCACACTTCCTGTCAAATAAATAAATAAATAAATAAAATTAAAAAAAGAAAAAAAAGAAATGGTCTAAGACAGGAATATCATGTTAGATCACAGAGTCAAACTGACCCTGGAACCCTGGAACAAAATGACTCAGAAAGGCAGAAAAACAATGGGCAAAGACATCCAGGCAAACACAAATGAAAGGAGAGGAGAGGAAGTCATTAGACAAAGTGATTAAATTTAAAAAAAGGATTTTATGATGCAAATGCAAATACTTTTTAATTTAAAAAGTAAAATCATAATTCAACTATACCATGAACGAATACCTGTTCACCAAAAACCATAGAATGAAAATTCATAAAATCGAAAACTAGAAAAACAAGCAAACAGCCAGGGGACAAAGGCAGACCTGCATCCCTCTTAGGAGACTCACCTCTGCCAGCCTGGGTCAGGTGGCCTTACTTGTCCTCTGTCATGTGTTGTCCTCTCCCATCCACGCTTGCCATCATCCCCTGTGGGCAAAACAAGCTTCTTTATCCTGTTCAATCTGGGCTTCACCGCGCAACCTGCTTTGGCCAAAGGAATGTGAGTGCTACGTGACATGTATGTGATGGGGACCACATTTAAGTGCACCTGCATGGTTTGCCCTTCCCCTCCTTGTCCTGGCTTAGGGTGAGGTAGGTGAGGCAGGGTTATGCAAGTACAGGGTCAGAGTCTGTTTTTATTTAGATTTTGATATTTTGTTCATCGTAGATCTCTGCGTTAATTTTGATTTTCAAAGACATTGCATTAGCAAACTATCTATCTTAATAACTGAGTCTTTTGGAGTTCCCTTAAATTTTACAGGCGAGCCAACTGTCCCACGGTGGTCCTGGTTCCTGCACCATACCAGGAGAGTGGCATGCACTCAGACAGAGGCTACTTCATCAGCCCTGGGTTCTTAAAGGTGACCTGTGCAGCTGGACTTAGCCGAATCCAGAAGATTCCAGCTAAACAGCAAGCAGTCACCACCCAAATGCAGTTCCCATGGAACACGAGCTGGAAAGATCTAAGTCAATGAGATTTTGAACTTCACTGCCACACAGTATGGACTGCTGAGACCTAATGTACAGATTATGACAGATCTAGTGAAGATAGGTACCTGCAGTAGCAAAATATTGTAGATCTCACTGAAGTGCACAAACGCTATTCCTAAGATCAGAAAATTCATCTTTTTTGCATACCCATTTATCAAAATTAACCATACATTGGGACACAAAGAAAGCCCCAATAATTTCCAAAAAGTAGAAGTAGTATAGGTAACATTTTTTGAATAAGCTGCAATTAAATTATTAGTTGTTAACAATACAGTCCTTTTCCTCAATGCCGAAAATTAAAAAAGAAACTTTTAAATAACTTCAAAGTAGAAGTCAAAACTAATATGACAGAATTCTGAGAAGATAACAATGCAAAGTACAGCACTACATATCAAAAGCAATAGGCTACAACTAAAGCAATACTCAGTGTAAGTTCAATCTTAAATATGTTTAATAAAAAGTGCAAAAAGCTAACATAAAATTCAAAGGAAACAACAAAAACACAATCTAAAGAAAAGCAGAAGAAACTAATAATGATAAAAACCAAAAAAAAAAAGTGAATTAGTATACAGAAAAATGGAAAACCCAAAAAACAGAAAACTAGGTTAATTGGAAAATATTCAATGATTAGAAAATATATTTAGATAAAATGATAGAAGGTATGAAGCCACAAAATAAGAAATGTGTTGAAAAGTTAAAAACTCCAGGAGATGTATATTAATACTGTAAATACTGTTTAAAAGCCAGATTGGCAAATATGAAAAATTTCATAAAAGACCCAGGAAGAGATAAAAAAAAAAATCTAAATGGACCAGTTGGCATGGGGAAGAAAGAACTAAGAAAAAAAAGTTGACAAAGAGATGCGGAAGCCACAGAGCAGTTTCACAGTTGAATTTCTCCAAGCAGATAAGAAAAGATAACTCCTAACAAGGGAAGTTTCCTAATTATTACTGTATCTAAAGCCAATGCAATATTAATTGGAAAAAAAAACCCTAAATTATATAAGACACCAAAAAGAAATCTACAGCTCAATCTGACTTAAAATACTGATGTCAACATTCTAATAAATGACTAAGATATGGAATTAAGTAGCAAATTAAAATAACAAGTGATCATTACAATGTGGCATTAATTCTAGGAATTCAAGGAAAGCACATTAGGAAATCCATTAATATAATTCACTGTGTATGTAGAACCAAAGAAAAATAATATGATCCTATCCATTGATGCTAAAAAAACACCTGTATTCAGCAACCTTTCAAAAAAATCAAAATCCTTAATAAATATAAACTGATATCAATTTATACAAAACTTATTTATCAATTTAACATGATTCTTATGAAAATATAGCAACACCTTTAGAATTAGGAAGCCAATTTTAAAGTTCCTCTGTAATAATACACATTCAAGAATAATCAGGAAAAACATTAAAATGAAGAGTAAAAAACATGGAATTTCCTTAGCATACCCAAATGGTATTATACAATTAAAGAAAATAAAAACGGCATGTTGCTAACACATGAACAGACAGATGGAAACGAAATGAGACCAGAGGGGATGGGTAAATCAAGAAATGAACACTAAATAAACAAACGAAAGCCCAGAAATAAATCCAACTCTATACAAGAATTTTGCACACAACATAGCTGGTATTTTAGGTCCATGGGAACATGACTTATCATTCAGTAAATATCTTGGTACAATTGGGTAAGTATTTAGACAAAGATCAGAATATCTAACAAACTCCTTTCATTAAAAGAGTTCCAGGTGGATCAAAAGTACAAACATCAGAAAGACCCCATGAAATTTCTAGAAAAAACACAAGACATTAAAAAATCTAATTTCAGAGAAAGGAAGACATTTTAAAAGCATGATAGAAGACTCAAATACCATAAAAGAAATATTAAAAATTTGTACATGACAAAGAAAATATTATGAAAATTAAAAATCACCTGACAAACTGGAAATGATACATGCAACCATATTAGTTTGTTAAATATATAAAAAGCTCCTATAGGAAATTTTTTAAAAGATAAGTTACTCAAAAGAAAAAAGGATCAATGTCATAAAAAGCAGGTCTCTAGAAAAGGTCATCAAAATGTTCCTGCCACCTGATAGAACGGGTAGAGGGCAGGCCCACGCTGCAGCAGATGTGGCTGGGGGCACCCGCAGCATCTGCCTTCCCATCCACGAGTGGAGGTCATGGAGCACTTCCTCCTCTTTCTCTCTCTCTCTCAGCTGGGCTCCATGTCTCAGCAGGCCCATCATGGCTGGCCAGCATCCTGTATCTTGCTGTATCTTACTAGGGGGATAAACCAGGACTTCAGGTATTCCCAGGCCCAAAAATGTCAGCTTTTTAAATTCCTTAGGTGGGTAATTTGGAACGATTCTACTTTCATTCAGTAGACTAAATATATTCAGAATGTGAGTTTCCACAATGCCATTTGCCACATTTTTTAAACAATAGAGTTTGTAAAGAAGGAAAATACTCTGTTTCTCTGGTTAACTGGGATGGAAATAGCTCTTGACTGGAATAGGTGCTCTGCCACACATTTCAAGATGAAAATCTTGGTGCACTTCATCCCTTAGAACAACGTGCCTTCCTCTCTGCTCCTCCTGTTTATCACTGCTCCCGAATGAGTTTTATTTTCTTCTTCGAAAAACAACCGACAGAGCTTTCATGTCTGTTCGCGATTTGGGCAGACGTGTGGGGGTGTGTGCCATTTGAAGAAAATTAATGTAATGGTGTTGTGAAGGTTCAATTCGTCTTTGTGAAAATTACAAGAGCTCATATATAGATGTGGGCACAACACCTAGCAAGAGGAAGGACCTCTGTGCTGATTAGACTCCATCCTTATTAAAAGGGCATCACAAATGGAAGAGAGAGTGTTATTTTCCACATATTGCATCTACTGAACCTGCCCAGGATTTGAAACTGTGGAAATGTGTCACAAAACGCGACTAAGTTGCCTGTGCATTATTAGTCGACAATATAGTACTGCACAGCAAGGAGGGAAGATAAACAAGCAGCTGCAGCAAGAAAGAGAAAAAATGGCTTTGATAGCTAACGTTTTTCTCACAGGATCAACATTTTATATTCTAGTTGATTTTAAAGGCTTTCTTCTGGGTTCTCTCTGGAGAATTAGCAGAACAGCTAAGACTTACAGATGTTCTCTCGCTCGTGTTGAAGAAACAAACCAAGAACTGTCTGTGAATTGTTTATTTGACATGCAAGGGCACATGGTTACAAAGCACCTTGAGGACTCATCTGTGGGTATTCCCTGATCTCAGGCAGGAATGGGACCAACCCAGCCTTGGACTGCAGTACTAACTCAGTGTCAGAGATCCGAAGAAAAGAAATTCTACAACCTTCACTAGTATTAACTCAGATTTGATTTTCGTGACTCTGGCTGTTGGGAAAAGACACAGTTTTCTCAAGCATACAGGCTTCCAACATGGGCGGTATCACTAGTTGTGCCCAAGCGAAAAAAAAAACAACAACAACAACAACAAGTGAAATGCAGTGAAGAATCCTCGAATCCCATCCCTAATGCCTTTGACGGAAGTTACGGATAGGCGGTAACCAGTAAGTGCTCACTGCGTTGGACTGACTGACAAGCAGGGAAGATCCACTGGGTTAGTGCGGAACATCATCCCCTGCGGGCGTCATTGCTGTCTTACTGTCTCCTCTCCTGACATCAACACGTGGGTTCTGTTTTTCTTCAAAAAGGATGCAGCACACACACACACTGTTGCCTTTGGCAATCATTTACTCATTCAGCACATTTATCTACTGAGCCTCAAGGGCCAGGCACTGTCCCAGGTTCTGAACGTTTTAAATAGTGGCGTGTATCCTAAGAACCTCAGTGCACCCCATGTAAGCTAACTCAAAGCCCCTGGTAGGCCGTGTAAATGCCCGCCGGCTCAGCTCTCAGGAACCGTTCGGTGCACGTGGTCCCATTCCATGACCTCCGTGGCATCACCACGAGGCACCCTGCACCTCCGCATCCAGGACCTGGACCGTAGGGCGCTCACAGGAAGACACTGTGGGTGCTGGCAAGAGTCACAGACCGGGAACGCGCAGAGTGGACTCTGCACGGCTGTCACCTTTGCCCCCACTTAATTCTGCGGCATCACTTTCCCCACCTCTAAAATTAAAAAGTTTAAAAAACAGCAAATCCTCTTTCATGTCTTAAATGAACGTGTCTAAGTCCAGGGAGAAGACAGATTCTACACGAAGCGTTTTGACTTCACTCCCATTAATGATGCAAAATGCCCTTTTCCCGTGTCTGACAGCCACAGGACACCGTGGGGAGGAAGCCTGCCGCCGTCGCGTTATTTCTAAGGTGGCTCCCAAGAGCGCCCTGTCACGGGCGCTTCAGCCCTTCCGTGTCCGGCCGGATAAATCTCCCTCGGTAATTCTTACCAGAGAGCAGAGATGGGGTGGGCACGTGTACGTGATCGCCAAAACCCCATCTTTATCTTCAGAGTTACCATGTTTCCAGCCCCCAAGCAGTTTAACTTGGCGAGCTGGATTTTAAATGCTCCGGGGGGGGGGGGGGGCGAGGGATGGACGCGAAGACAGCAAATATGCGGGGGGAGAGGGATCTAGATTAAAAAAAACGCAAGATCTGCAATTTGGATAAATTCGGCGACGGCATCCGTCAGACCCCGGGGGCCCCCGGAGGGCGGGAATGAATGAAGAAGCGGGGCCACTCGGTTTTGTGACTTTAACATTTCATTCTGCCAGTGAGCGGCCCAGCCAGGTCACTGAACTCAGGAAAAAAAATTAAAACCGCAAATTACTAACTCTGCGTGCTGAGCTATTTACCCCCTTCAAGTGCGGCGCGCGAGGATCTTCACCCCAAGGCGAAGGTCTGATTCGTCGCAGCACCCACCTCAGCGAGCCGCGCGGCCCCGCACCCGCGAGCCCCCGGCACCGGGGGGCGCGGAGGCGGCGCCCTCGGAGAACCCAATCAGCCGCCGGGCCGGCGGTGGCGCCAGCGACGTAGGCCGCGCTCGCCTCCGCGCCACTGCGGGCCGACGCTCGGCGCCGTCCGGAGCGCGAGCCCGGGCGCTGAGGGAGAGGCCGGCGCCGGGGAGTGGGCATGCGCAGTGGCTCCGCCAGGCCGGGCGGCGGAGGCGGGGCCGGGCGTGGGGAGCCGCGCGCGCGCGCGCACTCGAGCCGCCCGGCGGCGGCCGCGGGCGGAGGGGGCGGTTCCTCGAGTGTCGGCGACCCGAGGGCGGCCAGGCCGGGCGGCAGGTGCCGCCGCGGCCGCCGCCGCCGCAGCCTCCTCGGGGTGCCGCGTCCGCTGCTTCTCCAGCGGCGATGAGCTGGGCCCCGTCGCGGGGCCGCACCTGCCGGCTGCCCGTCACCGCCGGCCTCCCGGCGTCGTGACCTCGGCCTCCTCGCGTGTGCCGCCCCTGAGAGGCAGCGGGAGCGGCGGCGGCAGCCTCCTCCGCCCCGAGTGCTCGCTCGGGGGCCGCGCGGGGACAGCGCCCGGCCCCCTCCGCTCCCCCGTCCGCCGTCCTCAATGTCTCCCGGCCGGGTGAGGGGGCCTTTCTTTGTGAGAACAACGTTGAGACCGAGCCCCCCCCCCGGAGGAACCCAAGTGCGGGGAGTGGCGGCGGCCGGAAGCAAGCAAGCGCGGCGGCAGCAGCAGCGCCGGCAGCCCTCCCCCGGGCGGCCTTGAAGGGAGCCGGCGGCACTTTGCCGCCGCCCCCCGGATCTCACAGCCCGCCTTCGCCCGGCGCCCCCGGAGAGGGCGGCGGGCGCCCCCCGGGGACGATGAAGGCGGAGGGGGGCGACCACTCGATGATCAACCTGTCGGTGCAGCAGGTCCTGAGCCTCTGGGCCCACGGCACGGTGCTGAGGAACCTCACGGGTAAATGGATGCGGGACCGCCCCTCGCCCCTTGCGGGGCCGGGCGCGCTCGGGAGCTCCGGGGCCCGGCCGGCCGGGAAGGTGTTGAGGGAGGCGTCCCGGGGGCGCCGGGGTCGGCCGCCGGCACCCGGCCCCGTAGTAGGCGCGGCGTCGGTGCGGAGACTCGCGCGCGGGCAGCGTTCGTCCCCTCCCCTCCCCCTGCCCTCCACGCACGCACCTGCCCTGGGTGGTGAGACACTTCCCTCAGCTTTGGCTCTTTGCATCGCGAGTCGCCGGCCAAGTGCAGGACTTCAGTTCCCGGCTTCATCAGGATCAGTTTGCTTCCACTTTTTTTTTTTTTTTTTTTCTGAGGGAGGGGTGTAAAGTAGATGGCTAAGTAGATTATAGTGGGTCAGGGGCTGGGCCAGGGGCTGGTGCATTGTTGGCATTTTAGCTTTTCGCTCACATAGCTTCCTTTCCCCGTGTCCTTTTGTCCGTCTCTGTCTCTCTCCAGCCTGGAGCAGCTGCATCTGGGACGTTTGCTAATTTTCAGTCTTTCCCCTCTTTAGTCAAGGGAGCTGATCTTACCCACGTTCGGATAACATCGATGGGCGTGTGTGACAGTGAGCAAGAGTACATGTGTGTTGCATCGGATTCCTGGGTTTGCCTTACGAAGAAACTGCTGCTTTTGTTCATGAGGAAATGCTGACCCTATACTTTGAGATGCGAATTTTACAAATACTCTGAGTAGTATTCACAGGAAAGAGATTCAGTTACAATTTGATGACTTTCCAGTGCATGCTTACCAGACTGACAACGTAAAATGAAACTATGAATACACACATACGTGTGTGTGTGTGTGTGTGTGTGTGTGAAGCCTGGCATGGCACAGAATTCAGATGTCCATTGTGTGTGTGTGTGTGTGTGTGTGTGAAGCCTGGCATGGCACAGAATTCAGATGTCCTTAGAGATTTTATGGAACTATATATAAGAGCAGCTTTACAGGCGCTAGTTTCTTTGTGGAAGCCCGGCGATTCAGGGACATTCTGGGAAGCTGATTCGTGGTGTCCTCGCTTGGATGCTGTGGAGCAAACTGACTTCATGTGATAGTTGCAGATCAGGGACGTGTTTTTTTAATATTCAAGAAACAGTTGACACAAAGACTCTGGTGATCCAAGATGAAAGATTTGGAGACAGATTGCTTCAACTTATTATTATTTTGCTAGTATCAACTGTTTCATATTTCAGCTGTATCAAATATGTTTATTAGAGTGAAATGAAAAGGACTCAGTAAATATATTTGTATATATTAATGTCCATATTGGCCTATGAAGACCTATTTAGATAGCTTCGGGAGCCATGAAGTGAGTGTAATTTATCTCTTGACAAGATTTGATGATATTTAATATTCTGATCATTACAGTGGCTGCCAGGTAACAAACCAGGGTTACTTCCAGTTACCTTCTCATATTATCTTTTTTGTAAAAAATAATTGTTTGCAAGGCAGAGAGACAGAACCCCCATCCTCAAATTTACTCCACAAGTTCACGCTCCAAATCTCTGCAACAACCAGAGCTAACGCCTGGAGGGAGCCAGGAACTCAGTCCAGGTCTCTGCCATTGGTAGCAGGAACCCAACTACTGGGAGCATTTCCTAGGAAATGGCTAGTGTCAGAGTAGAAATAGAGGTGAGGGTTAGGGGGAGGGTGTCACATGCTAACAACCCAATGCTTCTCAAAGGTCAAAAGGGACTGGCCTGATTATGATAAGGTTCTTTGTGGCCTTCTCCATGCCTCTCACCTTACTGATCCCATATGTAGCTTCAGAATTAACCAAGAGAACTGACTTGCAGTGCCGCTTAGGGTTTGGACTATAAGAAACAAAAGCAAACCAACAGAGCTCCCCTGAAACAAGACTGCTACCCCTGACTGCACCTACTGGATGTTAGGCATTTTACCAACATGGTTTCAGTCTTCAGAATAATTCCTGAGAGGACGTTACAAGCCTCAGTAAAGTTGGCCCCCTTCATAGACCCAGGTCTGGCTGCAGAACGCCCCTTCTCCTCTGCACCTGTCGGGCAGGAGGCATTTCTTGTGTCATCCTGCTGCTTCTGTTCCTTGTACATGGTTTTATTATGTTCTTCAGTTACACTGTATTTTCTATTAGTCTCCTCTCCACTGAACTTTGAATTCTGTCACATTAGCATTTTTGCATCTGACACGTAGTAAATGATAAATCAGTGTTTACTGAGTTGAATTTTTAAAGTAATGCTTTAACATTTGCATGATTTAAACATTTTTATTTTATGTATTCAGATGTTGAAGCAAAGAGTACCTTACTTCTAAGAGCAGGAGAGAATTCATCACACCACTTGGCCTTTTTCACGTTAAGATAGCATATGTTGGCCGGCGCTGTGGCTCAATAGGCTAATCCTCCGCCTAGCGGCACCGGCACACCAGGTTCTAGTCCCGGTCGGGGCGCCGGATTCTGTCCCAGTTGCCCCTCTTCCAGGCCAGCTCTCTGCTGTGGCCAGGGAGTGCAGTGGAGGATGGCCCAAGTGCTTGGGCCCTGCACCCCATGGGAGACCAGGAGAAGCACCTGGCTGCTGGCTTCAGATCAGCGCAGTGCGCCGGCCGCAGCGCTCCAGCCGTGGCGGCCATTGGAGGGTGAACCAACAGAAAAGGAAGACCTGTCTCTCTGTCTCTCTCTCTCACTGTCCACTCTAAGTCAGAAGGGATTGTTGTCATTATAATAAATTCAGAAATATAACAGAAAGGAGCATTATATACAACTAGTGACTTAGATTGAAGAAATGACTGTGTAAAAGATTTGCAGCAATCTGGGTAAAGGGAATTCGTGTTAAATAAATACCAAACAGAAGGGAAAGATGCTCTCATTTCTGTTTTTTTTTCTTTATACAGTTGGACATGTTTGATGTTATCCTTCTCTTTGTACCTTGTTTCTTATTTCATAGGCAAATTGAGAAAATCTGTTGACCTTATCATAGAGACAGACCTTTAGAAATAGTAGCCTTGTGTATTATTCTGATAGAAATAAAAATTTTAAAGTAATAATGCAGACTAGAAACATCAATATTTTAGAGTTAGAACCAGTTCACTTTAGGAATGTTGAAAACTCATTCCATTAGTGAAGTGACTTGGCTGGGATCACAGCGGAACCAGCGTCTTCTGTCAGTTCTGCTTTGCCTTCCTGTCTCATGCAGCTGCTAACCCAGGCTGGGCTGAGATATGGAAAATCTTACAGTACTTAGGATTAGGCTGATAATAATCTTAGCCCCAGTGAGACTGAGAATGTGTGAATGGAAGTATAGAAGTATAGTAGTCCCCCCACCAAGTCGCAAGTAGTGCTGAACCCTCTGTATACCATGCTTTTTCCTGTACATAGGTATCTATGGTAAAATTTATAAATTAGGCACAGTAAGAGATTAACAACAGTAATAAAATAGGATACTGTAACAAAATGGCCAGCATCATTACTCTTGTACTTAGGGCCATCATTAAGACCTATGAAGGTTGCTTGAACACTAGTACTGTGATACCATGGCAATCAACGTGATGGTTGGGATGGATACCAAGTGACTGGGCAGGTAGCACCTCCTGTGCAGATGTGCTGGACAATGGAGTGGTTCCCCTCCTGGGCAAGGCAGGATCGAGGGGACTTTCATCACACTACTCAAGAGAGCAATATATAACTGATAAATTGCTTATTTCTAGAATATCCCCTTGAATTATTTTTATTGATTGATTGATTTGAAAGTCTGAATTAGAGAGGGAGAGACATGGGAAATCTTTTATCTGCTGGTTCACTCCCCAAATGGCTGCAACAGCCAGGGCTGGGCCAGGCCAAAGCCAGGAGCCAGGAGTTTCTTCCAGTTCTCCCATGTGGGTGCAGGGGCCCAATTACTTGGGCCATCCTCTGGTGCCTTCCCAGACGCATTAGCTGGGAGCTGGATCGGAAATGAAGCAGCTGAGACTAGAACCCCCATCCATATGGGATGCAGGCACTGTGGACAGCAGCTTAACCCACTTAGCCATAGTACTGGCCCCATCTTGAATATTTTCAGGCTGTGGTTGACCACCAGTAAATGAAACCATGGAAAACCACACTGTGGGCAAGGCTAGGTGGGGCAGGGAGGCAGGGAGTGGGCACTGCAATTTGTCCAGCAAATAAGATACTAGAAAATGCAAAATATTATTGACTAATGTTTTCTGCAATTTTAAGGCGCTATTTCAAGTTTTGTAGAAGTCAGTGATTTGTTATGCGTATTGTTTTAGAAATGCTGCCAAGTCTGGGCTGCTCTTTTCTCCTTCATGGAACAAGGTGCAATGAGGATTCCATATGGAACAGATTAATCCCTGGAGACCCTCAGCTCTGTCACCTAATTATCATTGCTGCGGGTCTCTTCAGTATCTGTGCCTTCCCCTGGTGTGTATTCAACAGGATTTCCAACTTAGTGTAACTGTCTGTAGGTCACATGTATCATCAGTTCCTAAGGTAGAGACAAGTGACTTTCTTCCTTTCTCTGAAATAGTCCTTCTCTGAATTCCCATGAATTCCCTCCCCAGTATAAAATTAAGAGTCGACTTGTTTATAATCTTTTAGCTTTATGGGTAATGACTTTTTAAAAAATCATAATTAAATGTATCCTTTTATTTTCTTCTGCTACCTTGGCTCCTGACTTTGGGTTCTGACCTGAATTTCGTTGCTGAGGGTTTAGAGAAGAATTTTTCCTTAGAAAATGACAGGATCCCCACATTCCTGAGTGAACACAGAGCTGGGCTGGTGTTGGGAATGGGATAATTGCCCCTGCGTAAAAGGCAAAGGCTGTGTCAGGTCTCTCTTTAATGAGGGGATTGGTGCTTTCCTCTTTGTGTTGGTAATAAGCATTGGGAGGCTGGGAGTTCAACTTGCAAAAAGGGTAAGAGTGTGTGTGTGTGTGTGTGTGTGTACACGTATGTGTACTTATTTTTGTGGAATATACATACTTATACTGTTATAGTTCCCATTGAGACTGTATGCTTGCTAAGCCATTTTAGTATAAATCAGTTTTGGCAAAAAAGCATAAGGTTGGGGGAGGGATAGTTGGTGTCCACTCTGCATGTTTGAAACCGTCCATACCCATCCTTTAGAAGTGCTCCCAAGCAAGTGTGCCCCTCTTGGTGTCACCCTATATTCTTTTTCTTAAAATTTTTTAGGGTACCCAAATTTCATGAATGTCATACATACAGATTCAGGAACATAGTGATACTTCCTACCCCACTCTCCCTCCCACCCATGATCCCACCCTTCTTCCTCCTCCCTCTCCTATTCCCTATTAATTGTTACAAAGATCCATTTTCCATTAACTACTTTTTAATAAAGATTTTATTTATTTATTTGAGAGGTAGAGTTACAGACAGAAGGAGAGACAGAGAGAAAGGGTTTCCTTCCACTTGTTCACTCCCAAAATGTTCCTTCCACTTGTTCACTCCAGCAAAGGCTGGAGCTGTGCCCATCCAAAGCTAGGAGCCAGGAGCTTCTTCTGGGTCTCCCACATGGGTTCAGGGACCCAAAGACTTGGGCCATCTTCCACTGCTTTCCCAGGCCAAAGCAGAGAGCTGAATTGAAAGAGGAGCAGCTGGGACTATAACCGGCACCCATATGCAATGCCAGCACTACAGGTGGAGGATTAACCTACTGCACCACAGCACCGGTCCCTTAGTTAACTTTGTAGTCATAAGATTAACCCTAGACTAAGTAGAGAGTTCGACAAATAATATGAAGGAAAAAAACACTGTTCCTCAACAGTCAAGAGAAGGGCTGTAAATAATCATAGAATCTCAAAATGTCAATTTTACTCCAATACATTGTATTTTCGATACTCTGTTACCACAGATCAGGGAAAACAGTGTTTATGTTTTTTGGGGACTGGTATTTCATAAGTATAATGGCTTCCAGTTGCATCCATTTTTTTGCAAAAGGAAGAATTTCATTACTTATTTATATATTTATTTGAAAGGCAGAGTTACAGAGAGGCAGAGGCAGAGAGAGGGAGAGAGAAGTCTTCCATCCTCTGGTTCACTCCCCAAAGGGCTGCAATGGCCGGAGCTG